AATAACAGTTCAAGTAAAACTTTAGTAAACTATAATAGGTATAGTTTAGGATGATGCTATTCATTACTTCTAGTACAATGAAGCATACAAAAAAACAATAACATACAGAGAGAATACTATTATGAGAAACAAACAATAACATACATAGAGAATACTACTATGAGAAACAAACAATAACATACAGAGAGAATACTATGATGAGAAACAAACAATACCATACAGAACAAACAAACTAGGTTTCTATAGCATGAGAACGTACAGGATCTAATTATACCAATGAATCACTAACTCATTGTTTTAAACAAAAGGTGATAGTTATATTGGGTGTACATGATCATATAACTTGAATGTGAATTACACGGCTTGCAAGAATTTGCAGAGGTCGCGTTTGGTTCCCTTAATCTCTAGACAGGGAGAGCGTTCAGTAGGGGTACTAGCCTTCACATTATGACCATAATAAAACAAACATGTTTTAGGTCATCAGTACATCCGCATGTCATTATAAACGACAACTGTGTACTTACATTTCCCATTACTTTCATAAAGTGACAATACCACTTGAAAGTCAAATGCAAACTATTTTCGAGTTAAGATAGTTATAAACTAGGGAAAACTTACATTTTTACAAACGACAAACAGAACAGTCGAGTCTAGCACATAACAGTAGATGCCTTGGTAGAAGGCTACGTTTCAGTAGAAAGGGACCATAATGCTAACCTTATGATTCCTTAATGTATACATCAAAGGATATATATATATATATATATATATATATATATATATATATATATAATAGGATCCGACAGATAATAGGATGTGTGCTCTCCGCTTCACTTCCTGTTCCTTGTTTGGTTGTGGGCTTGGAACGGATTCACCCAGTCTATTATCTATTTGATTTTATATATATATATACATATATATATATATATATATATATATATATATATATATATATATATATATATATATGTTTAGTATACATTAAGTCATCATAAGGGTACCAGGTATGGGTCAAGTCATAGGACACAAAGTCAATGCACAGTTTTCTAGTACAAAACATACTTTCCAAATCAGAACTTTTGGTATACAAAACTAGAAACTTACCAGTTAAGGGTTTAATCCATTTTATTAAACCAGGATAAACTTAAAGGACCTTAGGTGAGTAACTCTATGATACCTGAGTTTATACATCATGGTTATATATCATTAATACCCAACAGGTAGTTGAATGTGTGCTTTCCGCCTTATTTCCTGTTCCTTGTTTGGTTGTGGGCTTAGGGCAGATTCACCCAATTAACTATCTAATCGATATTAGATCATATATAGGCAATATAAACCAAGTGATTATAGAAGTAATCACTGTGGTCACCATTTTATTATAAGAAATAAGAGTTTTCTTAAAGAATCTTTTCATTAAATATAAAGGAACTAATACAATTAACTCCATGAGTAACAAGTGAATACGCCAGGGTTATATACAACAATGATCTAACAAACAATGGGATGTGTGCTATCCGCCTTACTTCCTGTTCCTTGTTTAGTTGTGGGCTTAGGGCAGATGCGCACAGTCGATTGTTTGTTTACTCTGAGTTTTATATAACTTGTATCCATTTAGTACTCATAGAAACGATTGTAGAATCATTTTTACGTATCTTTCATCAAAATAGGAAATATAGGATTTTCTAGAGGAACAGACGAACTTTTCTAAAACAGAACTTATAACTTACTACATTTCAACTACATTTTTCAACAACTTTCTACAACTTACTTACATCACTAAAATCTTATGAACTCACCAGCTTAATTGCTGATCAACTCTTTCAAATAACTTGTATTCTCAGGAGCCTATTAGACAGGTACTCGTGCTGGGAATTCAAAAGATGGAGCATTATAGCTCAAGTCTTGTTTTGTTATTTGCTTATGAATTCTATGTTTTGTGAACACACACATTGTAAACACTTTCTTTCAAATGAAATGGTTGTTCATTACTTGCTTACTATAATGCATATCTTGTGATACTAAACATGACGTCCTCCACCCCCGAACGTTTCCGCCGTTCCGGTTTTGGGGTGTGACACCCAATAAGGAAATCCTAGTCCAATATGGATTCAAACCATGGTTCTTAGGGCTTCAGACTCTTTGATGAACATAATTGATGAATCTAAATGAGCATTGAGTGAGATTTACTTAGAGTATATGATTTACAATAGTTGAATGGTTACACAGGAATAGAATTTCCTAACTAAAATGCTAGTTGTGACAGGTGGACATTGAAATTCTAAAAGATTGTTTTTTTGTATGCATGTGTGAACAATGAAGAATAGTTGCATAGACGTTCCATAGAAAAAACTTGAATTAGCGGGTCTGTACCCTTTTATGACATGCAATACTTGTCATAAAATGCCTTTTTTTCTAATATTGGTTGCATAGAAAATACTTGAATTAGCATGAAAGGTTAGTAAAAAAATGAATAATAAAAGGGAAAAAAAACAATAAAGTGAAAAAGAATGAAGTCACGCAAATTATTAATTCATTTTGTTAAACACATATGATGCAAATTATTAATTCATTTTGTTAAACACATATGATGAAGCATAATATTACGATCAATTATACATTGGTATTCATTATCAAAATAATACAACCCAATATTTGCATATAAAAGAAAATCAATTATCAAAGTAATAAAGCACACACAAAAAAAAGCATTAAATATAAGCATCAGTTATCAAAAAGGGAAACAAAAATAAAAGATATTAACATCAATTATCAAAACTAGTTAAAATTTTAAAAAAAATGATAATGTATTTACACTGAATTATCTTATTCTCCTTTGTTTTATTATTATTATTTTTATTGTGAGATCGTATTATAAAAGGCCTCCTCAATTTATAGCATTGTATTTCAAAAAATGTTTCGATGTAGTAAATTTGTCAAAATATGATATGTTAATACGGAATAAATGTGGGCTATACAAGCCGCATGGGCCGAATACAAAGGCATACAACAAAATGACAAATACATATATTTACAAACTACATATACGCTATAATGCTAACAGAAACCACTTACAAAGGGAAAATGTTACTAGCCTCTAGAGTTGAATTCCAAGATTAAGTTCTAAAAAATCAATTTTATTTACTTTGTAAAGTTGGTCATTTTGCAAAATTGTGTCATAAATATATTGTCATATCTTAAACTTCTAATGTCAACAAAATAGTCACCTTCTAGCAAGTAGTCATGGAATAACTCAAAAGTTTTGTGAGGACAAATATGTGATCACAATCTATTTATTTTCTGAAAAAAAAAAATCAGAATCCTATTTGAAGATCTTACTTAAGCAAAATATATTTTCAAAATATTATTCTAAAACAAATTTCCAATACCTAAAATATGAACCAAAAAAAGGTTAGTATATCTTAATATCGATATCAATAAAAAAACACACATACCTACACAAATATATAGTTTGTAAATTTCATCAGTCCTTTATTTATATTCTAACTTATCTATTATATATGCGTTAAATGTATAATTGATAGTTTTCTGGTTTAAGCTCTACCCAATTGGTCCTATCCCTCTTGATTTCAACCAGACAAAAGGATGCTTTTACATAAAAGAAAAGAATATGATCCTCAAGAATCTATTCTCTTCATAGACCATACCACAAAAACTCAATCACATCACCATGGAATCATCTTAACTATTGTAGCTTTTCGTCATTTGTTTCTTGATTCCCTAATCACCCGTGCAAACTAAGCAGGCATATACTGCCATAAGCGTATTTTGTGAAATGTAATTATATTTTGGGTCCAGGGCAAGAGAGAAAAGAAATAAGTAAAACCATGGATGGACTCAAGTAATTTTGTATTGTCTCCGATGATTTTTTTTTCTTTGTTCACAACATAATTGAACACATACCTGATAAATTTTGGGCTTGGGACTTGAAAAAAAAAAACAATGTTTTTTACTATATGGCTCCTACATAATGCCAAAACTTTTTGAGCCCCTTGGAAGGATGGGCTATGTTAGTCGCCCCTGTCGCTATCATCTAAGACGGCCCCAAATTTAGATACACAGCAGCCAACTAGTTAGCTGATATAAGAATCATACTCATAGGAAGTCCAATCTACATTAGAATTGGAACTCTTGCGCTGCAACTGTTAAAACTTTCTGCTTTTTTATAAGGATACCACCCAAAAACCAACTAATTCTAGTTCTTTACGACAAGTGACGAAGAAAATACGCCTTCAAGAAAGTTCGTACCGGCCATTCATAGTGGAGGAAGAAGGAGATATTCTATAATCAAATATATATAAATGAGTTTGATTTGATACGCTCTTTTCCATACAAAGGAATATATTCATAAAGCTCAATCACCAACCAAATTCGTTCTTTTTCTTGAAAGTTCTTTACTAATTTAAAATATGGTTAAATACAAGAAAAATTGTGTACTTTCATTGATTTGTATCATCATATTCATTTTTTTCACATTACAATATTATGCTTTAAAAATTCTACCCAATTATAATACATCCATATTCAAAAAAACAATCTTCAACGTTATAACTAGATAAATTATAAAAGTTTAATGTCCTTAATAAGGAAAACATTATATTATAAGTACAATTCTATAATTAGGTATTGTATTACATCGTCTTAGTAACAATAAGAGAACGTAAAAATCTAACAATATGATAATATAAAATATGAAAGTAGGATGTTATAATAAACAAATAAATAACATTGAGTTGCAATTCTTGTTTGCACATTTAAAATAAGCTTCATCAAAAACCAAATATATCAAATTACACCCAACTTATGTAAAATTCGAAAACCAAATTCAAAATCTTAGGGTACAAATGGGGTATATATATATATATATATATATATATATATATATATATGTATATATATATATATATATATATATATATATATATATATATATATATATATATATATATATGATTAAAAACATACAATGTTTAACAAATATTTACCAACATATCAAACTCCATAAAATGATTCAACAACAATCAATAAAACCACTAAACACTGCAAAATAATATCGTTTTGATCAAAATTGTACGTCACTAGCTATGACTATAATAATGGGAACAAACTTATATGCAAGTTGAGGCCTTTGAGGTGCGCTTATTCGTACCAAGGATTATAACAATAACCGTCACATCATCATGATATTTCCTTCTCCTCCCAGCCGGGACACTCATTAGCTCTTCCGTACTAAAACCTGCAAAATTCCAACAACCCCTGAGTTGGCGCACACACACTGTCCTGTCACATGATATAAATAAGGTATACAATGGCCCACTAGCTGATATAAAGTCTAATCCATATTGGAACTGAAACTCTCACATTGTAGTTGTTGAGAATCGTACCGTATTTATTTAATGTAACGGAGAACATGAACCGCAAAAATTTTATATTTTAATAAAGTTTCTTTTGATCTTTTAGATCTTTTAGTATTTTTCTTGTCAAAAGTTTAACTTTCCATGTCTACAAACCTACCATTGAATTGACTTTTTTGAATCTTTTGAAATTCGTTTAAATTTGATGTTGATATTGAACTTAACCCCACCATTTCTCCATTTTGAAAACCATCGGTCAAGATTTCATGATTGAAAACTATAAACTTTGACCATCATGCTTTTAATTTATTTCTATATATTATAGCATCCCACTTTCATTTCTTTCAATTATAATATTCTACTTTCAACTTTTTTTTTATTAAGGCATTGTATTTGAAAGATCTACATAATTAGAGCACTATAATAAACAAATGCACGAAAGTACATTGCTATTTTTTGCAAAATTTACCTGCAGAACAAGCGGCTTTGAGAACAAGCTGCTCCAAAAGATATTTGGCTGGATCTCCTGATGGTTTGGTGGATATGTAAGAATGAACAAGCTTCACAGCTTCATCATTGGTGAAAAAATCAAATAACCCATCACTTCCAAATATCACAAAATGATCAGAACTTGAAATTTCATGCATATACAAGGATGGTTGGACAGAAACATATGGAGGACTTAGAAGATTACGAACACGAAGAATACCCATCAAAGCATCATTCAGAACTTTCTGTAAAAAAAACACAGAAAAGTAAGGATTAATAGAAAACTTACAAATGCCCACCAAGTGTTTGATGAAATGCTTTTGTTACCTTTTTCAAATACCCAACGCCAAAAGCCCTAGTAACCTTCAACTTTCCTTTCACTTTTCCATGCATGATTGTTTTTGGATCATCAGGATGTTCGCTAACAAGTTGGCTTCTTTCAAATTCGTTATCAACTGTATGACTATCTGTTAACTGCACTGCTTTCAACCCTGTAAATTCATTGATTTTGTTTTTGTTTTCATTTTCATCATCATCGGTTGCTAAAACTGCTCTACTATCGCCTAAATTGAGTATGTACAGATTCTTGCCATGAATAAGGCCAACAAGAACACAAGATCCGACTGAAACTATATCTGGTCGATCCTCCATTTCTTGTTCAACCATATACAAGAAATCATTTTCCGCTTGATTGAGCGCACGTTGTAAGCTTTCAAGAACTTGATTTTTAGGTCGGCGGGGGATTACCCCCATGTCACCATCTCCAAGAAAGTAATCGTCAAACCCATTTGTAAATTCGTTGGAGTAATCGATGTCTAATGAATTTAGGTTAAACCTAATCGTTTCATAAAACGTACCCGCTAAAAAATCGGCTGCATCCCGTCCATTAAACCCATCATAAATCGCGCAGAAAAGCCAACCATTCTCCTCCGAGCAAACCGCCTGAACCCTATCTTCTCCGGCGGCACCTCCAGCGACTTGAACTTCAATCGCGTTAAGAAAATCTTCGCTTCTCGAAGGTAAACTCAAGGGTTTTGATAGAAACGAATCGAAATCGAGATTTTCAGGGGTAGATGGACTGCAACTCAAATTAGACATACTGCTTTGGAAAGAAGACGATAGTAGATCTAATTTTGAGAACGACGGAGAAGAGGGTATTCTTCGAAATGATTTGGGGGAATCGATTGATGGGAGAATTTCCGAACTGATTAATCCGTTGCAGATATTTGTGTTTGCTAATGTTGCATTCGCGCTAATGGCTGCTCCTGAGAGGCAGGTGAAAGAACTGTTGTTTCTTACGAGCTTTTTTCCGGTGGGAATGTCGTATCCATCGGTGGTGTTGCATTGATATTCGAAACTTACTTCCATTTCTCCACCGGGATCAAGGATTGCTTTTTCATGCATCATTTCAATCTATAAAAACATTAGAAATGGAAAATGAATTTAATCCCATTACTAGATTGAGTCAAAAGATGTGTTTACAATAACAAAAGTTTAGTTCAAAAATACAAATCTTACCAAATTATTGGAAGGGTTAGATTGATTATATGATTTTGTCGATCAAAATTAATATTACAATAATTTGGTCCTTAAGGTATGGAGAGTGTGAGACATGTAGGGTTTTTATTTTATCGACTCTTTAATATTTATCATTCATACAATAATTTTGGTCCATAAAGTGTGAAGCTTTGATCTATTTCAATATATATCATAACTAGTGCATCCATTTCAAATGCATATTCTAAAAAATACTTTGAGCATAGATGTGAAACCTTACACACATACGATTGTGTCTAGCTGATTTAAAACTCGAAAGCATAAAATGGTATTTATAACGAAAAAGATTTCTTTGTTTATCGAAAAGATGATAGTTAAAACGTATATGATCCCTATCGATATTACAAATTGACATCTATATATGTTTTTTTTTCTTCCTCTTGTTTGAATAGAATGTTTTTAAGGATATATGATACCCAAAAATATTTAACAGAAAAAACTTATGATCCTACCGATTGCATCACTAATAAGTTGTTAATCTATTAGAATTCATAAACAAATGATCACTATATAAACAGAACCTCACAAACCCCAAAAATAAGTCCAATTAATTTAATGACAATGCAGCAATCAGCAACCAGATAATTACCTAATTAAAGAAGACAATATGATTACAAAATCCTTAAAAATAACCAAAAAAATTGAAGGGTCAAGGAGTTGTGAAAGGGACATGGGTTTCAAGAATCATAAACAAATACATATAGATACTAACTTTTACAACAAGTCAAAACTAATGACAGAATGCAGCGATTAGAAAACGAATAACCATATAATTAACAAAACATAATTAATTCCAAGATCCATATTTAATCTAACGTAATCACAAATAGCTCCCAAATCGAAAAAGGGTTCACAGTAATGCAGTAATCAAGACACAAATAATCATCTATCAAAGAAACACAATCAAATTCCAGAACCGAAATCGAAAAGGGTTTGATTCAAACTCATTCAAATAACAAAAAAACCCCAAATTAAACGATTACCCACCAATAGAAACTATGAAACGAAGCAAGAAATCGAATCTAGAACGTACCTTTGGACGAGAAACGAAGAACCCAGATGAAGAACACTCAGTATACGCAAAGAGTGTATGTATAAGAGAGAAATTGGGATGAGTTGAGTGAGAGATGTGAGGTTTTAAAAGAGCAAAGAATCAAAGAGTGGATGGTTGAGAGGAGATGGCTTAAAATAGAATAGAGAAGTGGGAAACAGTAAGAGTATGGCAGAGGGAGGGTGACGATGGAGGAGGATACGGAAAGAGAAGGTCAACTGTGACTCTCTTTGGGATTCATGAAAACCGGTGAATTTGTTACACCACCCAAAATAAAAGGGAATGGGTCCCTTCGAAGCCCACTTGAAGTGTTTTCATCTTTCCCGGCTGCCAAGAGGCAAGAGGTTTAAATTTTTTGAAATAAAAAGGTGGATTAGATTTTAGATCACATCTATCTACAGTAGATTTTTTGTTTGTTTCTTTTATGCCTAACACAATTTGGACTTTTCTATTTCTTTATTATTGTTTTTGTTGTTTATGCCATAAGTAATATTTAAAGGATTCATCATGATTAAATAATTAAAAGGTTTTGGGAAATTGATTAATTTCATTATTATAATCAGCTTAATTAACAATAATATTTTTTGTATTTCGGAATTGGAAAAATAATTTTTTTCGGAATGATCCGTTCCGTACTATTTTTTATTGTTCTAAATTTGGTGGTCGAGAATTTAACTTTGTACATTTCGAAATGACATTAATATAGTTTGGAATGTATCGTATTGCAAATACACATTATGGAGTAACGGAAATTAGCTTTTGCACATCATTTCTTGGTCTATTTTGTAGATATTATTTTACAAATTATTTACATGAGTTTGTCATCTATATTTCTATCAATGAAAATGAGTATATGTAATCAGTTTATTACCGTATTTGTTTATAGTGGAGCACAATGACATGGAATAGATGTTATATGCATTATATTGTTCTAGATTACAAATGTTATTGTGTGGATTAAACCAACGATATATCAACTTTTTTGGGTTGGATAAATTGATGGCTTCGAAATGCAAGTAACATACTAATCAGATCCATCCATCATTTTGATGTCCTAAATCAAATATAATTATGCCTCGTAACACATTATAGTTGCTTGATGTTAATTATCTTGTGAAAAGTGGTGTTAATTGATTTGCAGGAGAAAATCGTTCTAGTGGCAATGGGTCACTTGGTGCCGAAAGTAACAAAATATATAATTTATTACATATGACATTGAGTCATATGGACTCAGGGAATGCAAAAGAAGTTCCTTACAATAGGCATATACATGAGGGAGATGTTAGGTATAAAGGTAAGGATGTTATAACGGAGCAAGTAACATCGAATATACGTTATATGCATTATATTGTTCTACATTACACATGTTATGATGTGGATTAAACCAATGATATCAACTTTTTTTGGATTGGTTAAATTGGTGGCTTCGAAATGCATGTAACATACTAATTGTAACGTCCCAAAATTCAAAAGTAATAATTTCATTTTTTAAGTTCATCAATCTCAAACATCACATGTCTCAAAATCATCCAAAATACAAACTATCACAAAATATCAGAGTAAAGGAAACCATAAGTGCGAAAATCATGAGGGGGAGAATCTTAGTGCCATCATGTCAGACCCTACCTATTTATACCAGAAGTACCTGAAACCAAAAACATATCTGTAAGCACAAAGCTAAGTGAGCTTCCCCAAAATACCACATACACCATACACGTAAATATAACAACACGTGGCTGTGTCAGGTCTGTAAAAACCCACAGGTTTGTATCGACCCCATGGAACAGCAAATAGTCGTCTCGGGTCCGTATCAACCCCGAGTCCATAATGACTCTGAGCCTAGATTGACTTTATGCATATATCATACAATCACATCAGTAATAGTCACATAATTGCATACATTCTACACATACGAATCAGTGGGCCAGCCTTGGTGCCTTCGGCCTACTAGTGTGGTAAGAAGACTCACCTCTAGCCAAAGGTAACTGAATCTCACACTCAAGGTGCTGCTAACACGACTCCTCACACTAATCAAAACCCAAATTCAATCCTAATTAAAATCAGGGTTTTAACCCATAGTCAATGGTCTAAATCATCCTTTATCGTATTAAGGGTAAAAGACCATTTTGCCCTTCCCATACATAACCCAACTGATCAAGGCCCAACACTCCTAATGGCCCAAGGCCCAAAAACAGCCCACTATGTTTTTTGGGAGTACGCCCGACGTTTCCACATTACCCCTAGCGTACAACACGATCTCGCAAGGGGTTTACGCCAGAGTACTCCCCGCTTAATGTCCTGAAGCCCAAACTATCTTTTAATGTCTTAATGCTTTAAGACTTAACGTCCAAACTGTTGGATTATGTGTCTAAGTTCATAACTATTTCTGGAATGTACTTGACCCGATTAATGGTTCATTTGGGTTGCATGGCATTGCAATACTTGGATAGACCAAATTGAGAGAAAGGACACTTAAGGTTTATTAATATATTATAAGTTCTAATATATTAATAATATTATTTAATTAGTATTGATCAAAGAATTAATTTGGAATTAATTAAGTGATCAAAAAGAGACTAATTAAATATATGGGGTTGATTATGTAAATTATCTATTCTTGTATAGTGGGCTAATGATCCATGGTTTGTATGGATTGGGTTAAAACCCATAAGGTGCTCCATGGATAGTCCATAGAGGTTACAAACCCATGGATCATGGAATATGGAAAGCCATGACAATTAGGGTTTACATGGTGTAACCCTACTTGTGTCACAACTATATAAGGACCCCTAGTCTAGCAAAATCGACTACTACTACTTGTATAAGAGAGGGCAATCCGATTTTGAGGTTTAGTGAAACTTCTCTCAAGGTTATTCCAAGTGTTGTGGTGTTGTGTGAGACATTTGAGGCATCACACTTGAGGTGCTAGGCTCACAAGGTTCTCAAGTAATCCAAACCACAAAAGGTATGTTCTTCTTCTAGCATTTATGTTTAAAAGTTCCCCATGTATGCTAGATAGGTTAAGAACCTTGGAAAATCAAATTTGCATGTATCATAGTAAAACATAGATCCAAGGTTTCTAAGGTTGCATGCTCAAACCCCTTCACAAACCTCAAATCTAAGCCTAATAAACGTCTAAAGCCATAAATTTGCAACCTTTATGCCTTTTCATGATCTAAACCAAAAGGCATAAACTTCCATAACTTATATCATAATCTAAACTTCCATAACTCTTGCATGGATGAATACCAACGACCAAGTTTGCATTTTTATTACACTATACACCCTAAAACGACTGAAAGGACAGCTTAAAAGCTTTGGAGTATTCCATACTCACAAAGATCAAAGTTTTGGGACAGAAAGAGAATAAATCTAAGCTTAAACAAGATCTAGCAAAGAAAGATCCAAGGTACAAACTTTATACCTCCCGAAGACGCACAAAGATGGGAAGAATCTGGATCCAAAAGCTTGATAGAAACACCGTAAATCCAAAGTTCTTCCTTCACCACCAAGAACACGAAAATGTCACTCTAAAGCTTCAAAACTCACACACAAGAATTAGGGTTTCGAGATTGAGGCTAAGAGAGATGGAGGTTGGAGGTAAGAAAGGTTTTAAGGCCATAAAGTTCTTTAAATATGGTCTAAAACCTAACAATTAGGGTTTTCCCTCTGCTTGAGTACACCCAGCATACACACACGTACTCCTAGTGTATGCGAGGGATTCCGCAACCATCTTTAAGGACCTACGCCTGACGTACCCATCTCGTACGCCCAACGTAGGGACCAATTTTGCAATCTTTTTAATGAATCAATGCTAAAATGAAAAATACCTAGAACACTGGCATTACAAATCTCCCCCACTTGAATCATACTTCGTCTTTGAAGTCCGCTACTACAAAAAAGCCTGGGTATTTCTCCCTCATCTCATCCTCAGGCTCCCACGTTCAATATGAACCCTTCCGGTGCTACCATTGCACCTCCACTAGGTTCACCACCTTATTGCATGGAGTCTTGGTGTTTCTATCGAGAACCGCAATCAACCTTTCCATATAATTCAGGATCTCATCGATCTGAATATCATCCAAAGAAATCACCGCCAAATCATCGACTACACACTTCCACAACTCAGAGACATGGAATGTGTTGTGGATCTGACTGAGCTCATAAGGAAAATCCAGTCGGTATGCAACCTTGCCTACCCGGGCGGAAATCCTGAAGGGATCAATAAACCAAGGGCCCATTTTACCCCGCTTCAGAAACCGGATGACAACTTTCCACGATAACACCTTCAGAAGCACTAAATCTCCCACCTAAAACTCGAGGTACGAACGTCACCAGTCTGTATAACTCTTCCGTTGGCTTTGCGCGACTCGCAACCTGCCGTGCACATGTTGAATCAACTTAGTGGTCTTGAGCACCACTTTAGTACTCCCCATGACTTGATGCCCGACCTTGCCCCAAAAAACCGAGGTCCTGGACCTCCTCCCATACAACATCTAAAAAAGTGGTTGCTCAATACTAGCGTGATAGTTGTTGTTATAGGAGAACTCAGCCAGTGGAAGGTAAGTATCACAACTCCCTCCACAATCTAACATGCAAGCCCAGAGCATATCTTCGAGCGTTTGAATCGTCCGCTCACTCTGTCCATCGGTCTGGGGGTGGTATGATGTACTGAAATTGTAGCTGAGTACCCAACTCCTCTAGTGTAAGGTCCTGAAAACGGATCTTACCAGTGATCAAACAATCAAACAATCAAAGAGAACAATAATTGGAGTAGAAGTAGAATAGAAACAAGCTTGCACACGCTTTATAACTGAAAAACGTCGGGTACAACTTGTTTACAGCGACCATGAACTCTTTAGCATCAACCACTGATAATGACCTACATAACCTCTATTTATAGGAGACTTGGGCCGGAAACAGGGTTTACGGCCGTAAAGGGGTTTACGGCCGTAAACACACTACAAAGCCGTAAACACCAAAATAACCTACTATTACATCATAAAGACTCAAAAGAACTACTACAATGGAAAGCCTAGACCAAACCACTAACTGGACCCTTCAATCTCCCCCTTGGTTTGGTGCTAGCTTGGACTCAATCTTAGTCGACCACCATCACGTCTGACTTCCCCATTGCCCCGTTCCACATCCTCTTGTTAATGATATCGGCAACCATAGACGTATATTCTTTTGCAGCTGGCTCAAAAATATCTTCTGCAACCTTGATCTAATGAAGATTCAGTTGATGAATATCCCATTTCCCAAACTGAAGCAAATCTCTTTTGTCATATAAACGAATGCATCCATTTTCAAGCTTT